AGATTTTTATTTTCTTCTTTTAGTATTCTATGAATTTCTAAAAGTACTATAATTTATGAAATAAATAATTTAGTCAGGGAAATGTAATAAAACAGAAGACAAGTTGCATAAATAAAACTGGTTAACTTTCCTTGAGAAAGGAAGAAAAGAGAATTCCTCAGCATTTTCATAAACTGTATAATTACTAACTCTGATGTCTGCTGGTCTAATGTCTAAGGTTATTTAGTTTATTATTTGTGCTGACTCTTGATTATAGACTTCTGATCATCATGTATTTTGTGATTCTATTGGAAACTCAGTTTCATTAAACTTTCTCTGTGCAAGTTCTTTGAGGTCAAGTTTATAGTGTACTTTTTTTAATGGTTTTTTTTCTGGTCCCCTTTGCAAGTTCTTTTTTTTTTTTTTCTTTAAATATATTTTATTGATTTTTTACAGAGAGGAAGGGAGAGGAATAGAAAGTTAGAAACATTGATGAGAGAGTAACATTGATCAGGTGCCTCCTGCACACCCCCTACTGGGGATGTGCCCGCAACCTAGGTACATGCCCGTGACCGGAATTGAACCCAGGACCATTGAGTCCGCAGGCCGATGCTCTATCCATTGAGCCAAACTGATTTCGGCTATATTGTACTTTGCTAGAAAGAATTTAACATTACTTATGAAGCTGAATAGGGAATTCCTCAATCTTGGACTTCTTTAAATTTTCTGTTTTCAAATTTACTACAAAGGTAATAAAGGCTACATAGGTCGTGCAAATTCTGGTCCCAAACATGCATATGTACAAGGTAATTATTAGAAATTCTCAGAGCAACGCATCTCCTTTCCTTTCTTCCTTCAATTCATGTCATGGTTGAGAGGCACTCCCCCTAAAAATTTAGCCTTTTGCCGGGCATATATTATTGTCTTGCTGCTCTGTAATTAATTGCCTTTTAGGGTTCCTAGGACAGTGATAGAATCCAATTTCATTTCCAGTCTTGAAAAGGCCCAACACAGGTATCTTATTCTCCAAGCACATGGTCCTTTAAAACTAAGCTCTAGATTAAAAGAAGATTGAAAATGCCCCCAACGTTCTATTTTCAGCATTTTTTTCTCTCTCAAAATTTGCACTTTCCACCGTTTTTGGCACCCGAGGACAAACAAACAAACAAACAAACAAAAACACCCACAAACTTTTCTGGGGCTGTGAACTTAAAGATTTGTTTGTACATATTTTTATGTATTTTTGCATTGGAGATATTTCTTCAGACATCTGGTTTGCTATTTTCTTAAAAGCAAAAGTTAGTTGTTTTTTCTAGTTTGTTTTAAGTCTTTCTTCCTTTTTTGTAATTATATGTATTCAAAACTGTATATTTCTGCTTAAATATTGCTTTAAATATATTCCACAATGTTGACACATTGTTCTTATATTGTCATTCAGCTCAAAGCATTTTAAAATATCCTTTGTAATTTTCTTTTAATGCAAGAGTTATTAAACTTAATAATTTTCTAGTTACATGATATACGTAATGGCAATTTTTATATTGAAATTTTATTTTATTGAAGCTGGATCAGACAAGATATTTGTATGATAGTGAGCCCACGATAAGATTTATTTGGCCTAATATATAATGTATTTTGGTGAATGGTCTGTTTTCTTTTTTAAAAATATGTTGGTATTGATTTGAGAGAGAGAGGAAAAGAAAGGAAGAGAGAGCAAGAAAGAGGGAGAGGAAGAGAGAGAGAAACATCAGGGTGAGAGAGAAACATTAATCAGTCGCCTCCTGTACATGCCCTGTCTGGGATCGAACCCACAACCCAGGTAGGTGCCCTGACCCAGAACTGAACCAGCAATCTTTCTCATACTAGCCAGGGAAGTCCATATTTTCTTGAAATAAATGTAATGATGCTGAAGTCAAATTTATATACATTAAATAAACCAAAGTTTTTCTCAGAGTACTGCCTTTTTCATGGCTTTGGTCATGACAAGCACAGTGTGTGCCTTTTGGCTGTATCATCTGATGCCTCTTCAGAAATAAAGTGCAGAGAATCATGTAATGAACCCCAACTCTCACTTAATATGTTGACATTTACTTTTGCTTTCTCACTAAAATCTGCATATTTAATTTTTATCTCTTTGTTGAGTCTAAAACTGTTTTATCGTGTGAACAAGAACAGATCAAGCATTATCTCATTACCATATTTTCCGGCGTATAAGACGAACCCCTAATTTTACAGTTAGGCCTATATTTACTGTATAAGAGTACTCCCCACTTCAAAGAAAAGACTTACTTTGCAGTCAAGATCTGCAGGTAATTTTTGTGCAATTTTGGTCTTTTGCCCCCGATTTTCGGTTGACCTTTATTCGGTTCAAAAGTCGTCTTATACACCAGAAAATACGGTAAATATTTTATGATACTATTGCGTTAGTTTGTTTAATAAGTAATATTTAACATCAGGTTTTTGTTTTTTTTTAAGTCTAGAAGCTGAATCTTGGTATGTGTGTTTATTTACATGTATATATGTATGTCCTGTTATTTCAAATAATACAGCTAAGAAAATTCAAAGCATGTATTGTCATTACTCACTACAGATGTCATGGTACTACTTGCCAATCAGATTTTGTAGCTTTCTAGATCTTTCCTTGTCTCCCTGCTCCCCGCCCCCAGCTCAGACTGGTTTCTTCCTCCTGTCTCTGTAACAAAAAAGAGAGGGGCATTTTCTTTGACTTTTCTGCATTCTGAGGCTATCTCTGGGACAAAGCAAAACCCCTCCAAGAAACTCTAAGATCTTAACCAGAATTATCTGGGTCTCATTTACTGACATTATTACAATTTAGTGTCTATTTTTCTTTACTTCCTTGTAAAGTTATCTCCATTTTTTTTTTCTTTTGGCATCTATTAATGAAGATTTCTCATGGCTGTCTATATATCAAATAAAACTGCATTTAGTTGTGCTTTTTATTTTAAATCTCTCTTTTCTTCTTTCTTTCTTTCTTTCTTTCTTTCTTTCTTTCTTTCTTTCTTTCTTTCTTTCTTTCTTTCTTTCTTTCTTTCTTTCTATGCCTTATTGGCCCTTTGTAGATTGGCCCCATTCTTTCAACATGCATTTCTTTTTCTTTTCTTTTTTTAAAATTGATTTCAGAGAGGAAGGGAGAGGTAGAGACAGATAGAAACATCAATGATGAGAAAAAAAACCATTGATGGGCAGCCTCCTGCTTGCCCCACACTGGGGATCAAGCCCGCAATCTGGGCATGTGCCCTTGACAGGTATTGAACCCAGAGACCCTTCAATCCACATGCTGACGCTCTATCCACTGAGCCAAACCAGCTAGGGCTAAATCTCTCTTTTCTGATACCAGAATACCACATAGATTGCACATCTACTTTGATTTCTCAAGCAAAATAAGCAGATTTACTATTTACATTAGTAGCATAAATCAGTATTTTCCTTCTGTGCTAGAAATCAGCAAAAATCAAAGAGAGAGAGAAAAATATTGGTGAAATCAGGAAACCTATAGTATATGTAGACTTCAAAATACCTGTAAGAACTGCCAAAACCAGTTCCATTTGGACAAAAGTTGTGTAGGAAGAAGAGCAAGAAAGAAGCAGAAGATGGAGAGGAGGAGGAGCGGGGGGAGGAGGAGGAGGAGGAGGAGGAGGAAGGAAGGAAGATAGAGGGAAGCTTACAAATCTCAGAAATCAGTTTTCAAAATATACTTCCTGAGTCTGAGGGATGCATTCTGAAATGCAAAAACTAATGCCTTATTTACAATACTGGCTGTAGGAACTGGTATAAGTAAAACTACTGATAAAAACTCTCCTAACCTGGATTGGTTAAGAGTAATAGGGAAGGTGAAATATATAAAGCATCATTTAAATCTACTCTCTTGGTAGGAGCCAGTCTGTCTCTGAGGAAACAGGAAAAAAAGTCAGCTTTTGGATCATGAAGAAAAAAAAAAAATGATAGGAAAACATGCAAATAGCTACTCTAAGAAAATGCAACTCATTCAATTATTAGTAACATTGTCACGCCATCTAAATCAAGATAAATATGGAAAATGAAAGGGAAAATTTGGTATAAAACTATAACATTGACAAGTGTCAAAAACAAGAGAAATAATGACATGGAGCAGATGGAAATTGTGGCCAAAATTCATTTAAAATTAATGAAGCAATAATTTCTATGAAGAAATAATTTAGCCATAATTTAAGAACTTAACCTAAATTGATAAAACTCTAGAAAGAGTAAAAAAAATTTTAAAAATCTAGATAAAAAGAGTTGAAATATTTCTTAAAACCAAATCGTACATAGTGTTAACATAGATACCTCCATGTTCAACCAGACTTTGGATTTTCAGCAGTAATTAATAATATCATTCAACAAAATGAAGATTCCTCTACTAATTTCTATTTTTTTTGACCATTTTCGAATGAACAGAAATGCTTGAGGTTTAGGTTTGCCAGATGAAATACAAGACACTCAATCATTTGAATTTCAGTACCTTCTGGAAGTAGTTATCTCATGCATTTGAGACATACACACACACACAAATTTATTATTTATTTGACATTCAAATTTAGTTGGGTGTTCTGCATTTTTATTTGCTAAACCTGGCGTGCCTATTGAGGTTACTAGCATGCATCACAGAATAATAAATCCAAAATTTGCAAACTATAACACGAGAAGGACAGTGTGGGGCCGTGAACAGGAATCGACTGAATTTGCATCTTGGCAAACTGTAGCTCAGTCTACATTAAACTATACGTGGAAAAGTAAAACTTGTGGGGAAGGTAAATGGACATACAGCGACCAGGCCAGGGATCGCCAACCACATTGTTTGTCAAGACTAATTAGGATTTAGTGACGATAGCTACGGTCTTCGTTTGCCATTCCAGTCTCCATCATAAGACAGACTACACTAAAAGAGATAAAGAAAATAACAGCGAAATCGAAGAAGTAGGTGTAGCTATCATACTACATCCGTGCAAATAGGAACAAATTGGATATTTCTCTGTTTTAACATGTCAGATGAAGTAATCAGCACCTTAATGATCATAACAGTTGGGGAGTTTTCAGTGGGGATCGTAGGAAATGCATTTATTGTATTGGTAAACTTCATGGACTGGATGAAGAGTAAGAAGATTGCTTCCATTGATTTAATCCTCACAAGTCTGGCCATATCCAGAATTTGTCTAATGTGTATAATAATGTTGGATTGTTTTATGCTGGTGCTGGATCCAGACGTCTATGAAACTGGTAAACAAATGAGAATCGTTGACTTCTTCTGGACACTAACCAACCATTTAAGTATCTGGTTTGCCACCTGCCTCAGCATTTTCTATTTGCTCAAGATAGCTAATTTCTTCCATCCTCTTTTCCTCTGGATGAAATGGAGAATTGAAAGGGCGATTCCTGGGATCCTGCTAGTGTGCTTGACCTTTTCTGTGTTCATTAGCCTTCCCGCCGCTGAGAATTTGGATGATGACTTCAGGCTTTGTGTCAAGGGAAAGTGGAAAAGAAACTTAACTTTGAGATGCAGGGTAAATAAAGCTCAATATGCTTCCAGCAAGGTATATCTCAACCTGTTCACACTGTTCCCCTTTTCTGTGTCCCTCGTTTCATTTCTCCTCTTGATCCTCTCCCTATGGAGACACAGCAGACGGATGCAGCTCAATGCCACAGGGTGCAGAGACCCCAGCACAGATGCCCACATGGGAGCCATGAAAGCTCTCATCTCCTTCCTCCTGCTTTTCATTGCCTACTATTTGTCCTTTCTCATAGCCACCTCCAGTTACTTCATGCCAGAGACTGAATTAGCTGTGCTCATTGGGGAACTGATAGCTCTAATCTATCCTACAAGCCATTCATTTATATTAATTCTGGGGAACAAGAAGTTAAGACAAGCATCTCTAAGGGTGCTATGTGAAGTAGCACATACACTAAAGAGAAGAAATGTCTAATAACATAAACAGATCTGAAGACGCACTATCATTTTCTAAGACAAAGGAAGACAAAATGTTTATTAATTAACTTCAGTTCTTACATTAATGTTGATTTCATATGGTTGATTACCTTAAAATGAATGAAGTATATTTATAACTTAGAAAATCTATGTATAGCTTATTTTGCCTTTTTATCTCTGCCTCTCTGCCTCTTTGTCTCTTTTCTCTCTCTCCTTCTCAGCAGAGTTTTTTGAAACATGTATTAAAACAAACTGTGAGAGGAGAGTGTATTTTCATAGTTCTAAGTCATTTGTCCAGATGCAAATTGTATGGCTAATTCAGAACAACTGTAATAGCATCTTACTCGTTTGCATTCCTATGAAAAGTAGCTGGCTCATCCTCCTGGTCCTGACTAGATTCTTCTTCTCAGATCTTCCAAATAAGCTCCACCTTTGCAAAGACTCAGTAAGGTTGCAGTTCTTAATAAAATGCTATGCAATTCTATGAATGTAGCAGAAATTAATCCTGATTATAATCACAAATAAAACATAAATTATGATTAAAATAAATATTGTCACAGCGAGTACAAAAATTATTTTAGAATCAATGAAAAAAGAGATACTAAGTGTGAGAGGACAGTTTATATAAAAAGTTTTTATAAAATAAGAATGGCCAAACCAGAAGCCTAAGTAGAACTATTTATTGCTTATTAAAGGATATTTCCTATACAAAAGACATGTGTAAGTTTGCTTTTAGCAAACTAAGACTGTATCACGCACTGATTGTTAAGATACCCTGATAAGATGAGATCTTCAATAAAAAAATTATGATTTTTAGATGCTAAAATGTCAAAACTATCAAAGAAGATATTGATTCAATACAGATCATCTCTATAAACTAAGAGGATAATATTCAGATTATATATAAATCAGCTATAAGATATCATTTATGTTGTGGCAAAAATATTTTTAAGTGATTGACCAGTCTACAATAGTCATAGACTTTGTGTGCAGAAGATAAAAATGTTTATAAATATTCTTATCAATAAATTTGATAAAAATAAAAATTACTTTTATCTTTAAAATGTTAAATTTTATATGTTAATTTTTCTTCTCTGAATCTGACAGTGCAAAAAGTAACACATTGATTAAGCTGATAAGTTTTTTTAAATGCCTTGTAAGTTAAAAGAAACAATAGAAAATTGTTAAGGAGCACTAAAGGTGCATAGGCTGAAATTTACACTGTAAGTTTTAAAAAACATCTTAAGCCCTAGCTAGTTTGGCTTAGTGGAGAGAGCATCGGCCTGTGGACTAAGGCTTCCTGGTTTGCAGACTAACGTGCCTGGGTTGTGGGCTCAAACCTCAGCAAGAGGAATACAGAAGTCAGCCTATCAATGAGTCTCCCTTATCATTGATGTTTTTCTCTCTCTCTCTCTCCCTCTCTGAAATCAATACAAATATATTTTAAAAAATAAAAAAATTAAAATTTCTCACTATATTAGTTTGCAAGGTTTTCTGCAATAATGTACTACAAACTGAGTGCCTTAAACAACAGAAATTTATTTTATCACACCTCTAAAGAATAGATGTTTAAGATCAAGGTGTTGGTTCAGTCTATGGACTCTGAGAAAGAATTTGTTCCAGGTCTCCTAGCTCTGGTATTTTGATAGCATTCTTTAATGCTCCTTAGCTTCTAAAAAGCACCCAAGTATGTCTTCATCTTCACATGGTGTTCTCCCTGTATACGCCCAAATTTCCCCTTTTGATAAGGATACCAGTCATACTGGATTAGGAACCCACCTACTCTCACAAAAGCTCATCTTAACTAATTATATCTGCAGCAACCCTATTTCCAAATAAGGTCATATTCTAAGACACCGGGGTTAGTACTTAAACACATGAATTTCGGGGAGACTCATAAACACTTACTCTCCCTTACAACTTCCCTAATTCTGGCAGATTTTACTTTAAGCCATTTCTACAAATGCATATATGCAAAAAAATTAAATTGAGTCAACATGTATGAACCATGTATTGATACATCTGCATGTCTCTAAACCAATGGGAAGCTTGTCTGGTTGATAGCAGAACAATGACTCTATTTCCAATAGGGCATGCTGAGGGTAAACAGGTCCTAAGGCCCTCCTGAACCCCAAACGTACACAGGAATGTAATAATATGCACACATGCACTGAAAGACTGCCAGAAATCAAAGAATTTTACAAAATCTTGCCGAAAGTTTACAAGGTTTGGCTCAGTGGTAGAGCATCGGCCTGCGGACTGTAAGGTCCCGGGTTTGATTCTGGTCAAGGGCATGTACCTTGGTTGTGGGCACATCTCCAGTAGGGGGTGTGCAAGAGGCAGCTGGCCGATGTTTCTCTCTCATCGACCTTTCTGGCTCTCTATCTCTCTCCCTTCCTCTCTGTAAAAAATCAATAAAATATATATATTTTTTAAAATAATTTTACAAGGTCTTTTTCTCTGTATTTGAGCTGAGAAAAAGAGGTGTGTATTGATAAAGTAAACTTGGAAAACTCTCTTACTAGTATCAAGAATAATTTTCTTTTCTTTTTTTTTTTTTTTTTTTTTTGCTTTGAAATATTGGTGGTAGCTAAGTCCTTACACAATTATTGAAATCTGAGCTCCTATCAGTTACACAATACAGAACATTTGGAGTCCAGCCAGAGCTATCTACTTCCCAGCCTGTCCTGACTGTCCCTTGACTGAAAACCATGGCCCTAAATGAAAAACAAGAGCCAGGGTATAATGCTTATGACTTTATTGGTGATTCAAAGTTGGAGGAAGAAAAGGCCATGATTACACCACTGAAAAGTCCACGTTCACCAGTCGATCTCTATCACTTCTGAAATAGAGAAAAAGATTTTAGATACAATAATCACTTAGCCTGTGGTAAGTTGGGCATGGCATTTTCAGCCCCAGGGCACCTCATGTGCCATGCCAGCTCAGCCAGGTTCAATAATGCTGTGAAGGATTGAGAAAAGACAGATAAGAGAATGAAAGCTGGGTCTGGATGGGATGCTGCTTCTCTGATGGAGAGACAGAGCCACGGGCTAAGCCTTGTCTTTATTTTATAGCCAGATGTCACAAGGCAAAGTAAGAGCGTGGTCAAGATGTTTACAACATTCTCATGAGGTTTTGATCCTTCTCAATGACATGCACCTGATCAAGTTTTTGTTTTTGTTTTTGTTTTGTTTTACAGAGAGGAAGGGAGAGGGATAGAGAGTTAGACACATCAATGGGAGAGAATCATTGATCAGCTGCCTCCTGCACACCTTTCCCACCAGGGATGTGTCCACAACCAAGGTACATGCCCTTGACTGAAATCGAACCTGGGATCCTTCAGTCCATAGGCTGATGCTCTATCCACTGAGCCAAACCAGTTAGGGCACACCTGATCAAGCTTTGTTTACTTGCAGCCTATATCACTTAGGCATGTGGGGCCACGTGTTCAGACCATAGGTTCAAGCTTACAACTATAGCTGTTGATTATAATTGTGCTGGGAGGGCTCTTCCCTCTAAGCTGGGACTTGCATGTGGCCATGAGAGGACTGTGTCCTCTCATTAGTCCAAGGCTTGAACCTGTCCAAACACTGTAGCTGCTCTCCACATTAGCCTGAGCATGCTCTATGACTGGTATTTCTATAATAAAATAGGCACATTATAAGACAACACATGAAGTTAAAAGAGAGTAGAAGAAGGAGGGGTGGGGAGGTAGAGGTGGGAGGAAGAAGCCAGGAGAGGGAGACAGAAGGGAGGAGAGGAGAAGAGAGGAGGTGGGGAGGAGAGGTAGGACTAGGAGAATTTTAGGTTGATATAAGAAGAGGGAGTCAAACAAAACCTCAGGGTAGAACACTTGCTTTTAAAAGAATGGAGAATATTTTTGTATGTGTAAGGTTGAGGCAATGAGATTCGTGGCAAGCCAAATTTGGACAAACATTTTGAGTGATTAAAAACAAGAATCAAAACAAGAGAAGTAAATGGAAACTAAAAATCCAGGGAGAAATTCACCAGATTGGGGAGTAGAGATGCAATTAATACCTAGGGAATCACCGGAAGCCGTCTTTGTTGGTTTTCTTTGTCATTGGCCTCCACGCTGACCACCCTGGCCACCAAGGCCACCCTGGTCACCTCTGCCACCTTGTCTACTCTGGCCATCTTGGCCTCTCTGGCCACCTCGACCACCTCGGCCTCCTCTTCCACCTTGGCTATGTGAGCTTTTCTGGTCTCCCTGGACATTCTGGCTTCTAGACCAATGATAGTTACCCTGGTCTCTTTTTTCATGCTGACCTCCATGTTCTTCTTGTGATCCCTCTGGGGGTCCTTCATCAATTTTATGGTCTTCTTAAGTGAATATATCATATTCAGAAAGAAAGAAACAAGGAAAGAGAAAGGTTAGCCATAAACTTACATGAGGCAAGTAAGGAATCTACTATAGCCTAAACTTAGAAGTAATATAATACTGTTTTAAGTGGTACTAGGGTCCAGAGTTTACAAGGGGCCGAGAATTTGGCCTCTTCAGAGTGCATGTATTTAGCTTAGCACCTCTTGTTCACCCCATCACTAGTTATTCTCCCCTTTTGATGTTTCGGCCTCTATTCTGTATGGCCATCTAGTCTAAGCTTACTGTGATATACACAAATTCATCTATAAAACACCAGATAACTTCATGAGAAACCACCAGATGGAGTGACTGTGTCTATCTGTAGATACGCATGATATCTTGGCACCAATCTATTGAATAGGGGAAATTATCAGCTACCTTGCCCTTCCCAATAGCACAGCAATCATGTAACACCCACTCTCCCCTCTCTTCTATAAACTGTTAGGTCTTTAGACCAATAGAAAGTATACATTTTAAAGCCCACCCTATATTTTATCCTTTTGAAAATTTCTGATATCTATAATTGAATCACCATCTGTTATATTAACTTTCAATCATTTCTCCATGCTCTCGTGATCATCACTTTTTCTAATCAATAGTACATTTATTTATTTTTT